GGAGCCCGGCTGGCCCGCCCTCTCCCACGACTCCCAGCCCCACCGGCCCCGCGCTGCTCTGCACCGGAGGCTGGTGCGCTCCAGGGGCAGCAGCTTTTTCAGGCTGGGAGCGCTTGGGGTTCCCGAGTGAGCCCACAGCGCCGGAGGGGTTGACCTTCACCTTGTGCCAGTCTGGCAACGGCTTTCAAAGGGGTCTGGGCTCTTGCCCATGCCTCTCCTGTCAGCTTTAACTCTGGTGTCTAATGACAGTCCCTTGACAGCGGCCCCGGGGGCTCACCCCTTTCTCTCCCAACTGGCAATGATGTCAGCCTTGCCTTTTTTTCTGTACGCACCATTCATGCAAAGATGCCCAGAGATGTTTCCATTCTTCTACTCCACACACAAAGTGGGATTCCTGGAGAGCCACAGAAATGCAATGGCAGCAGGGTTCATCTGGGGCTTTGGGGAGGAAACACCCTCTCAGACAGCTGTCTTGGGCCTTTCTGGCAGCCACGTTCCACATCTAAACCAGACACAACTGAAAAGCTCCAATGGGCAAATGGATCAAAGAAGGAGCCACTTTTTAGCCCATGGAAGCCCAGCACTGACACTTGTAGGGCCTGCCAGGGAAAACAGCAACTGCGGATCAGGTGGGCATTATGCAAGGACATAAACGTACTTGTCCAGAAACAGCAATGGATACTCTCCATGACAGCAATGTCCTGATGGGGCTCCACTGAACCTATATCCTCTTAGATGGTGCAGGGATGTCTCTCCTTGTGTCTCTGGCTCAGTCCTGCAATTTGCTTGGTGAAGTTTCCTTGGAACAAAATCTTAAAAAAAAACCCCAACCTTGTTACTGCGGGAAGCAGGACAAAGAAGATCCTTGACCGATTGCCTGGAACTTCTCCGCTGTGATAAAACCCACTCTGGGTACCCCCATTTCCCAAGGGCTGGCAGCACATCATGGGTGGGTGCAAAGGCCTGAGCATGAGACTCCCATGAAGGCCTGGGGACAGCACAGGCACCTGGTCTGTCCCTACCAGAGCACACCTGCTCCAAAGCCTGGAGCTGTCTGCTGGAGAGGAGGCCGCTGTGCCTTCCCCTGGCCTGTGGACATGACACACCGACCTCCAGCTGCCAGGGCTGGGGCTGGGGACCCTGAGGGCGGCAGCAGGACCTGCTCTGACCCTGGCTGTGGGGCTGTCTCTGGGGCTGAGCACTTGGGCCCAGGGCTGGAGAACCGGGCCATGGCAAGGCCTGTGGGGCAGGTAGGCCTCCAGGTCCCTCCTTCAGGCCCATCAACAATGGCAGATACCTGATCCTGATCCTGCTGCTGCTGCTCCTCCTGGTCCTGCACCTTGCAGCACCTCTGGCCCTGGCCCTGGGCTCAGGGCAGCTTCAGGCATTTCTGAAGCTGAAGTGCAGCCGCCCCTGTGCTTCCGCAGATGCAGTTATTTGCAACCCGCTGTAGCTGTCAAAGTGATTTCTCCTCATGGCACGTGGACTGGACAGAAGACACAGTTTGCTTTCAGTCTCCAGCCTTCCCCACTCCTCCCCTCCCCAGCTCCATCCTCTTTCAAAGGTAATGATGATTTGACTTTCTGGACAGGTCACCCAGTAGGTAGACACAGGGTGTAAGTATTAGCTGGTCTATACTGACGTGCAGAAACAAACTCTATAACTGGTGTAAAGTTTTAAAGCAGGTATGTTTATTCGACACTGAGGTGCAAGGGGATCGTTCCCAAAGCTTGCACACCCCGACAGGCAGTGATGTGATATTTATCCAGGGTTTACAGACATATGCATTAAGTGGGTAGGGTTATTACGATTACTTCCAGGAGCTCATTATCATAAGTTCCCTCCTACTTGCCTGTGCGTAGTCTGGTCTCGGGGGTCCTCTGGTGGTCTTTGAGGAGGAAGGCCTGAAGTCTTCATCAGAGTGACTTTTCCCCTTTGGTCAGAACTGCTGTGCTGGTACAAGTCAGCAACTTGGGCAGACAATGCAGCCTCTTGTTTTCTGGGCCTCAGCTCCCTCATTGTGCTACGAGGAGTTACATCTTCGGGCCTCAGTTCCTTCATCTTGCTACAAGCAGTTACCCCTCCCTTAGCTAAAATAACTGTCCCTTTGTTTAGGTAAAGATATTACTCAACTAAAGATTGATAAGTTTGATCTAGTGAACCTTTTAATAAACTCCATTTTATTAAAGCCTCTAGAGATTATTAGTTAAGTCCCCGGCATCAATACCTCCACAGCTGTAGACTGAACTTTTCTACCTTTGAAGGCTAGATACATATGGGCTATGGATAGAGTTACTGTTTGCCAGTTATTTTTACTTTTGGGGTCCTGCGACAGTGATGGTAAGGTTGTCAGCCTGCAGCTCTGCAGTAGTTCAAACTGTAACAGAAAGTGTTTGGATGGTGGATGCTGTTCTTTGTGTTTAGTTTTCAATGATAATTCAATTGAGGTAGAATTATTTGGATGTCATTAGGTGATGGAGATGACCGTGCACGGGTCTTTTGTTCCTGGAGTGCATCCTGGCAGCCTTTGTCATCCAGAGCTTTCCCCTCTGTTGTCCAGATGAGTGATGGCCATGACGTGGAACGACTAATGTGAGTACTGGCTTCACCAGCAGGCTTGGATTTAGTGAATGCCTATGGACAAAGAGATGCAGCAGTTGCTCCATCCAAGAATTCTGATGTGCTGACACTCTGGAGTGAATTTGGAGGAGTTTCCTCCTCCTCCTTCTCCTCTCTGTTCTTCCTCCTCCTCTTGTTCTTCCTTTTCCTGTTCCTCCTCCTCTGGTTTTTCATCATTATTGTCCTCCTCCTCCTTTTTCTGTTTTTCTTTGTCTTGTTCTTCCTTTTCCTCCTCCTGTCCCTCCTCCTGTTTTCCTACTTCTCCTGGACCTCCTCCTGATCTGCTCTTCTCCCTTCTCCTTTTCTCCCTGTCTACTCCTGCTGGCCACACAATTTCTATACAAGCCAGGATGTCATCCCTCCAGCGTGTCAACCACACCACGTAGCTTGGCGTTGTCAGCAAACTTCCTGAGGGTTCACTCGATCCCACTGTCCGTGCCACCAAAAAAGATGTTAAACAGAACCACTGAGCAGAATTGGACCTCGTAATTCAAGGCAGGATTTCATGCGCTAGGGCTGTTGCAGCAGCAGTGATGACTGAGAAAGCAAGAAACATTGTCCTGGGGGACCTCCGAATGCTGAAGGGTCTTTCCTTGCTTTTTAGTGCTCCATGGCAGAGTTCAAGCCACTGTGGATGTGCCACAGCTGGGCAGTACATTGCTTTATGGTTTATGAACTTCAGTGGTCATTGGCTTCTTTGAGTGAACTTTCCGTAAATACAAGAAGATGCACTCCAGCATCTTAAGGCTGTCTTGGCCTGGCTGGTGACATGGGGGGACATGGGGTGGTGACATCCTGGGGGGGCCAGCAGGGACACCAGGCAGCCATAGCCCTCAGAACAGCCAGGAAGCAGATGTCGTAATGGACTGCACTGTGACGCTTGCGTTGGCAGCCTGGAAACCCCTTGGTGTACACTCAGGCACAGGCACCCGCAGAGAGAGGGTTGCTCCGTGAGTGCTCTTCTAGAGGGAAATATGTCGTGCGTCTTTTATAAATTCACTTCTGTGCTCAAATACAAGTCCATCACATTCAACGGCTTTGACATCTGCCTGAGAGACCTCAAATACAAGATCATGAAGAGCGAGAAGCTGAAGATGACCACCTGTGACCTGGAAGTGACCAATGCGCAGACCAAAGAAGGTGCTTGGGGGTGAAAATGTGGGAGGGTATCTTCTAATAACAAACTTGCCGGGTCTCTCAAGCAAGCTCAAAAGATCCCCAAAATTTCTCTGATCTGAATTCTAGCACCACCAGTTCTCTTTCCATTCAAATGTAAAGCACTGAGCTGCAGAGCAATGCAGTTGCTGATGGATTAAGCTCCAAAAAACTGGCAGAGATGGCAGGTGCTCTTCAGCGTGCTGTCATTCTTGAGCACCAGCAGCACGGGGGAACCGTTTCAGTGAACAGCTATGAAAGCAATGGCGCCCAGTTTTCATACTTTAGCTCAGTGCCTGTTGCGTTGCAGGGCAAGCTAGTCAGACTTGAGAATCTGGGTTATGGCGCTGAGACTTGGCTGTGGTTTGTTTCACTCCAAAGTCCTCTTGCTTTTGTATCCTGACATGAGCCAAAGCAACTTCAGCTGGGTGAGGAAAGAACCCCGTGCGTTAGCAGACTCTCCTTCAGTGACCTGTGAGACCATTTTGCTGTTGGCCATCCAAGTATTTCAGAAAAATTAAAAAGCTTTTGCCACTTGTGTTTGATTCTCAAACCTAAATATTTCTCGAAACAGATGTTAGTGTGTTGAGACGATAAAAGTGCCATGTTACCTATAAAAGTTCTCTTTCTCTAAAAAGATATTCTGAAGTGCTATGCAATTACATTTTAATATCTGTCCTTACGAATTGACTCAGGTTTTTTCCTGGTTTATCTTGTTTTCAGAATACATAGATGACAGCGCTCTTATTCCTAAGAACACCTCGGTCATAGTTCGCAGAGTCCCTGCTAGAGGAGGCAAAGCTACCGGCAAGACGTGTGCTACGTAAGTATCCCTAAAGCATTGTGTTTTCTGTGAGGAGTTTCAGTGTGTCCACTGTTTTGATGGGTATTAGTTTAGAGAGGCGTTCAGATTGTATCTTTCTTGTGAAAGCTGCTCTTCATCTTGATTGTAATGGGGTGGATTTTACTGTATCTCTCCCAAGGGAGACTTGACATTTTTTGACCTGCTGGGTCATGGGGTTCAAACTCCAGCAATGGTCACTTCTGAGATGGTTCTGTTGGGATTGCTCTTGGGGTTGATTGTTGTGAGACCCAAGCTGTGGCTGTTTCCTCTATGGGGAGAGATTCCTTCTTCTATGTGTTGGCTTTTCTTGCTTTTTTAGCACAGACAGATATGCGCTGTAGTTGAAATTTGGAATTTGTTCCCATCTCAGAAGAGTCTGATGCTCTGTGGTTGACTATTTCTGGCACTGGGGGAAGGTGGGCAGGATATGGCAGGTACTCTTACGCCTCAAGTCTGGGTTTTTTGCATACTAGCTACAGAGGAAAGGCCAAGGGTGTCCAGCTGGAGAACCAGGCCACCAAGAAGTTCCCTTCAGACGTGATTCTTAGTTGTTTCCTAAAGACAATGTCCGTTTCTCAGGCAAGAGAAGAAGAACGATATCCTCAAGTGTACAACCTGTTGTTCCAGTGCGATGAAGGAGTAGATAACCCGCTCCAAACTGGAAACTCTCTATGCAGTTTAGCGCATTACCACATGTTACCCATTATCTAAGCTGGTATCTGTGCTCCAGGTTTTAAATCTGTATTCCTAAGATTTACGGAGGACAGAGAATTGAGTGTATTGATTAAAATCACAGGTATTCAAATGCAGTCCTGACTACAGGATTATTACTGTCCCTTATTTCTTCACACAGTCCAGTTCCATATCGGCTACATTAGCACTGGTCACGTTTTCCAACCTTCTTCTTGATAGGCCTTTCCAGCACCATTAGTAGAACTTGTTAGCTTGTGGTTTTGCTGTGTCTTTCTAAAGTTGATGCTCAAGAAATAAAGGAGGCTGATGAGTTGCAGTGTGTCTTGAACAAAGAGTGATGTGGGTTTGGTTTTTCAGTTGCACTGAATGAACCAGGAGAGAACCGTTTATGTATACGAATAAATTTCCACATTCACTAGACTATCATGTTTTGTTGTTCAAGTTTTATAATCTGTTTTCATGGCTTTGTGTTGGGTACATGGGCTTCATTTTAAATTCTGATCACCCTTATTTCTTCTTCTAGAAGTCAAACTGAGCCAGTGAGTGGAAGAGCAAAAGGGGTATGTAAAAGCACAATCTCAGGCTTTCTTCCACATACTACACTTAATTCTAAACAATGTAGCCGTGTATTAATTTTACAAACATGAACTTAATAGAGTTTACAGTAAGGTGTAGTTTATGTTGTGAACACATTGCATTTGATTCAGCCTAGAAAAAACGGAGTGATGCGATCATTTGCACCATTCTAGGGAGAATATTGGTATTTTTGCCTAGTGATGCATTGTATTTCATACTGAATATACTAGGGTATTTCTTGAATGACTTTGTGTTGTACAGATAACGTACGATCGGTTTCAGATCACATATAGGTTCACGTTTGGCACGTTTGAGCATTGTGTCACGGTATGTCTGTTTTAGCACAAAAGGCTGGAGCCCGGTGTGCTTGTGGGTAAAATCCCTTTGATTTGTTTGTCAATCCTGCCTGCAGTACATTCTTGGATCTGGGTGTCTGCAGGGTTGGCTGCTGCTTTAATTTCCCAAAAGCTAAGCCTTTCTTTAGTATACCACCACTTTGAATTTACATTTCGAAAAGGGTCAGCATTCTTCTTCGGGCTTGACAACACTGACATCCTGCTGCTAAAACAGCAATAAGTAACCCAAAGAAATACCTGACTGATAATGGTCTAGGTCTTGACTGCTACTGCTAGGTCTTGATAACGACTGCTACGTTTGGTTCTACAACTTGAATATGTCTTGAATTTTTTGTGAACAGGCTGATGACTCTTCTGCACCCCTTTCTCTGGCCCAGCTTCTTCAGCTATATATGTATATTCCTGACGCTGCTGTCTTTGGCTGCGTGGGCTTCAATGTGTTTCTAATGTGTGTGTCAAATGTTGACCTGTTCAACAGACGGCCAATCTGGCTGAAGCCAGTGCTTCCGAGGAAGACAAAATCCAAGCTATGATGAACCAGTCTTACTGTGGATATGACCCAAGCAAGTAAGTGTTGGTCCTATCAAATCAGTTCTTTGAAGATTATGGACTAACTGTAGAGGTGGTGTTTGTTTGAACAAGAGACTTACACGCATACCTTTTTCCTTTTTTCCCCATAAAACCTGTAGTTACGTGAAGAAACCCTTGGGTACACCTCCACCATCACATACTTGCTACCGCTGTGGGGAACCTGGCCACTACAGAAAGAACTGTCCGACCAATGGGGTAAGACTGTGGGGGACTTCTGGTGTTCTTTACCTTGGCAGCGACATTAAAAATACATATGCAAATATGTGTAGAAATACATAGTGATCTTAAGAATTGTTTGTCTTGGGGTGAAGTATAGAGGTTGTCTGGCAAAGTTGCAGAGCCCTTTGAAATTCAAGAGAAATCTGGAATTGAAACCATAACATTTTATTTGTATGCCTGCATTTCTTTTCTTAACAGGACAAAAACTTTAAGCCTATTCCCAGAGTTAAGAAGAGCACAGGAATTCCAAGGAGCTTCATGGTGGAGGTGAAGGATCCCAGTACCAAGGGTGCCATGCTGACCAAGACTGGAAAATATGCAACACCAGCGATTGATGCGTAAATACAGAATTAATTGGCCTGACCAAAAGGGGAATGAGATAAAGCATGCATAAATGCCTGAGTGGCAATGGAACCAGGTTGGCCAGCATCTGTAATTAAAGGGGAGCAAACATTGTCCTTGTATATTAACCTTAAAATTTGAGATATTTTCTACTACAACAAGAGGGTGGTGCTGCTGCTCATGCCTCTGGAAGCTGGTCAGACTTGTGGGATGCCAAGAATCTGTATTTCTGATGTTGTAGCTCTAGAAACGTAGTTTAAACCAAGAGCCTATGTTTTAGAAGGCTGATGTGGAGTGAGAAGGATTCCCTCTCTTCTCTTCCTTTGATAAAATCCAAAGCTTGGAAAATCTTTCCTTTACTCATCTCTAACTTTGTTTTCCCTCCTCCCTATGACCCCTCCAGGGAAGCCTATGCAAGAAGGAGGAGCGTCCCTTTACACCAGAGCAGCCATCCTCCACTTCTCCCTCAGAGGAGCCTCTTCCAGAGGAGCTGTTATGTCCCATTTGTAAAGATCTGATGACTGATGGAACTGTTATTCCCTGCTGTGGAAACAGTTACTGTGACGGATGTGAGTGTCACTGATGCATTTGATAATTCAAAAAATCACAGCTGATCTGCTGAAAGCAGAAATAGGAGATAACAAAATTACTTTCTTACCAGTTCTATTTCCTACTTATGTGTACCTTCAGTAGGAAAGCGCTTTTCTCATAGAAAAGAAACAAAAAATAAAGGCAGAAGGCTTTTCTTCCTTCTTACGCATCTAGTCAAATTGTCTTCATATGTGGAAGGGTGAGCTTGAGAAAGTGCCTGACCGTGCAGGTGATTGCAGTATCAGATACTGAATGCATTTAGTTTGTCCACAGCCCTTTCTCTCATACCAAATGACATGGCCAGCTCTGGTGACTCCCTGTGGTCTGCAACACCAACTACTAACTACTAACAGGCAGTTAAGCATTTAATCCACATTATTCCCTAGGGGAGGGTTGGTTAAACTCTTCAGAACTCAAACCTAAGAATGGTTCTTTGAGATGTATTTTGTTCATTCGCCTTGAGCTTGGTGACTTCTCACTGGACTGGACAGCGGGAAAAAGACCAGTCGAAACATGAAGACTGACCCTACTCACATCTGGAAGTGCTGCTCTAGCAAAATGCAAACACTGTATAGTGATTTGCTGCACACGAGAAATTTTTACACTATTGAGCATTTCTACCTTCATGCTCTCACTTCTAGACCATATGCACCCATTAATTGCATCTGTGTTTTTGGAATGGATTAGAGTCCAGAAAAACTTCCGGACTTTGGCTAAAAACTATTTTGATGATTCTAATTGTTCACAGGTATTAGAACAGCACTACTGGAATCTGAGCACCACACATGCCCAACATGCCATCAGGGCAATGTTTCTCCCGATTCCTTAGTTGCCAACAAGTTCCTACGCAAGGTAACATGATGACTTCTACTTCCCCTGTTTGTAAGGGAGTCTATCTGTAAGAACCTGAAAGGGAAGAAAATACTAATTTACATCTCCTTAAGACAGGCGAAATTGAATAAAGCATCATTGACTTTTCAAAGAAAGACATTCTCTTACAAATCTCTGGAGACAATCGGGCATATTCAGGTCACACTTTAGTTTAACATGATTGCCTCACTTTCAGATTCGATGCTAACACTGAAGTACTTTAAAACACAGATACTCTGAGTTACCAGTCATTAGTAGCAGTGTTTGATGTGATGTGTTCATACATCTGTTATGTTGATTTATTTTAAGGGCGATAGCATTTACAGGACTACACAAATACTTTTCCTCTGCGGAGGCTTTTGTTCATCTATCTAGTGGAGTTTTGTGTGACTTTTTTGGACATGTTGTTCTGCCTCTAGGCTGTGGAGAAGTTCAAGAATGGGACTGACTACAGAAAAAGGCTGCGTGAGGAGACTGAGCGGGAGCGGGCGCTAATGCCACCGCTTCCACCACCACCACCACCACTCATGGCTGTTCCACCTCCTGTTTCTCAGGTGAGTGCCTCTGCACTTTCTAAATCTTCCTCTCTGGCAGTCAGCAGTTTGTTGGAAGAGAAGGTAAATTTGTTTTCAGCAGTCATTCTTGTCTTGGATTAGAGCTCATTTTCCAACTCTTTGCATTTATTCACAAGGGCTATCAGGTTCCTCTACAAAGACGGTCAGCATTACCAAGTCTTCTGGGCTCCTGGAGGCAATCAATACCCACACCTGGTAAGAACCTACAGCTTTAGAATTTCTTGTAAACATTATCTGCATGTGAACTGAATGGCATTTTTCTCTTTTTTCCTCTCCCCACTCCAAAAGGTCATCCAATGAGAGCCAATACCATTTGGGCAGCTTGTGACAGACCAGGCTGGGAGCTGTGAGTGTTCTACAGAAATTCAATAGATGGCTACTTGTAACCTGTTCCATGAGGCCGTAGCGCATAACGTGTATATGCAACAGCTGATTTATAGTGAAATACGTATGCACAGAGAGCTGTGGAGAATATGACCAATTAGTTTTGCTCAAATAGGATGTTCACCCTTTGTATTAGCATGCAGTAGATGTTTTGTGGTATTGGTTATGTTTTGTTTCTTGGTGTCTTTTTGTAATAAAGGTCAACCTTATTTTAACAGGGAAAAGAAGTCGTCCAAACGTCATGTTACACATGATTCTGCTCCTGGAATGGAACCTCCTGAGAAAAAAGTGAAGAAGCATTAGGCAGTCTCTTCTGGTTTCAGTTGTAATAGTAAGAGTTGGGTTCCTGTTTAACAGTTAGTTTCAAAGTAATAAAGTTGGTTTTCTTCCACGTAGCTGGTTTAGTGATTAGCTGTGTTTTTGATTTAGGTTGACAATCATGTTGATAACACTCTGATGTTTTAGTTGTTGCTAAGCAGTGTTTCTACTAAGTCAAGGGCTTTTCAGCTTCTCATGCTGCCCTGCAAGCAGAGGCTGGGAGTGCTCAAGAAGCTGGGAGGGGACGCAGCAAGGACAGCTGACCTCAGTGAGCCAAGAGAATACTCAGGATACCTTCAATGCAACTGCACAACACAGCATCTCTCACCATTGCCATGGACAAGTTACTGGAATCCTCACATCCATGTCCTGTCAACTCCCAAATGGCCCCACTCATGTAAGGCAGCCATAATTCTCTTTGGAAGTTTTTAAAAGAAGCTGGAGGAGAAAGTGGATACCTCTTGACTGTCAGAAAATCAGTTGGATCAGAAGCACTGGGATTTTCCCCTATGGCATTCCATCAGCATGTCAAGCACGATACTGAAGGAAAGCAGTAGTCCCTGCTCCAACAGGTGTCCTGAACCAGCCCTTTTGGGAGCCAAGCATGTAAGGGGAGGTGGGCTTTCAACTGCCTCTCGTGACACCTCTGCAAAGCTTCTAGGAGTAGGTTGTTGCTATAGCCTCTGCTGTTACACCCTTGACCAATGTCAGAGCAATGAAGGGCAGAAGGGTGAGTTGTTGTGGAGTTGCAAGTGATGCTGGCTGTTGGCCGTGGCAGCACAGAAAGTGTAAGAGCAGAGAAAGCAAGCTCATTTTGTGGTGATAAAGATGCTTCTAGGGATTCAAATTTGGTGGGTGAGGAGTAGACCGGACAGGTGGAGAGGAGAGAAGCAAAGTCTATCACGAAGCGGTTAGCTTAGCGGTCAGCTAAGGGGTAGCTTCAGCTTGACTGAACTTTTGGGGAATATATTGAAGCCGTCCGATCCCTCCCTGCAAGCCTTCTGACCGGGAATTCCAGGCTGCTTTACTTTCTGCAATTTGAGACCAAGCAGCACGGTGGTTTTCACTGAAATAGTTGCAATAGATTGTAATACAGTAAGTACTAATAAGATTCTTTGCTGTCAGAAAACATTGCTGAGACTTGAGGCAGTTGCTTAGTGGCTGACTGCTGCCCTCCTCTGTTCTGCTGGTGTCAGTAAGATTGTTTTGCATGGCATCTGCTGTTAGTCCAAAGCCCTAAGAAGACAGAAATCTTTGACAGATTAAAAGACCTGAGCTTGATGGGCAGAACTAAGCTGGGTGAGGCATGGTGATGCTTCTTCATCTGTGCGACATGATCATATTTTTGTGTAAGACTGAAAGTCACAGAGAAGGAGATTTGAGTCGTGGCAGCCTTTGTCCTTAACGACAACCTCTGTGCCTTTTCATTTGTTCATTTTAATTAGGTGCTGCAAAAAGCAGCAGCAAGATGACATTTTCTATGTGGTCATCTGCAGACACAGCCTGTGTTCATCTGCCTCGCTTCATTGCTACTGTCTTAGTACCTGGAATCCCCAGAAGAGGGGACTGACTGGCCTGCAATCAGTGCAAGAGATCAATTTCTTTTTTTTCTATCTCCTTCCAAATCTCTTTCTCTCTCACAGCTTGCAGAAGTGGCCAGAATCCTGACCACGCTCCCCATACAGATACCGAGTTTCAGATGTTGTCATAGATCAGTCTCTACCATTTATTTATTGTAGGCTGGAATATTTTGCCTGTCTGTGTCATAGACAGTTCCTCAGAGTGGGAGAGACTCATAAACCCCAGGATCTGCCTGGGTGTGACTGGCCTACTCTGCTAATGAGTAGATAACTCTGGGTTTATTATGTGTCAATAAAGAACTTAAATTAATGGATTACCAAGCAAATGCTGTTTGAAGTCTTTATAAAGCTCCAGCTTTGCACTGGGAGCATAGAGCTCTGACTGCTTAAGCCATCTGAGTGCTAAGAGAGAAAGTCTGAGAGATACGAAAGAGAGAGAAAGACTAAAGCCAGGGAAAAGAAAATATATTCAGGTTAGGAAAGGCTATACTTTGCAGGCACTATGAAGGTCTTTCTTTCATTTACAGTCCTTGAAGTCCTTTTTCTGGTGCACATTTCCCTGGCAGTCTACGTTCAGGTGAGTTGTCTCCTTTTTAAGTTATTGTTATTACAATTTCAACAAAGTACTGCTATTACATGAAGTGACATGGCTGCAACAGATATCTGGAACTAAACTAATAGCCCTGAACTTTTGCTTTGCTCTGGCTTGATATCCGACTACACTCTCTATAGTTCAGCTTTTCTTTCTGTAAAACGCTTCAGCCATTACTAACATGCTGCTGCAGTTGTACTTCACGAGTCGCATCACTGCTCTGAAATCTTGTGCTGGCTGAGGCATTGCATTTCCAGAGGGTTTTTTTGCACATAACCCTATGTGTTGGTAAGCTGCAAGAACTGGAAACACCTCTAACTTTATTGCGTGATGTAAACAAGATAAAAAGACAAAAGATAAATTGTCTTGTCTCGCCTGCTTTTAGGGAGGAAGTTCTTTAGGAAAATTATCTGCAAGCTTATGTGATGGAGCCTACACACATATCACATATAAAAAAAAGGTGAAAGAAATGCTTAGCTGGATCCAATGAAATATTAATAAGACAAACTCTTAGAGGAGGCTATATCAAATTCTTCAAAGTACACAGCACTTGTGACTGATATTCCATGCAAACTGGAAGCAGTTTAGAAGGTATTTCAGCGCTTTTGTCTGTACTTGGGAGTGCATCGGATCTGCCTGCACTCGTCTTTAAAAGTGGCAGTTTGGAAGATTTTGATTTGACTGCAATGTAAATAACTTCCTCAGAGTACCAAGAGAAACAGTATTTCTTAAGCAATTATCGACTCTCTTTATATGTGCACAGTAGGTTTCCAGGGATAAGATACCATCTTTGTGCCTTGAAATATCCCCTTTTTCTCTTTCAGATGTTAGAGATATCCAGAGATAGTAGGTTTAAGCTATTCCTTTCTTCCAAACCATTCTATAGCATTCAGTCTCCAATGGAGAGTATAAGTGTAGAATGCATAGGTTTAGAGTTTTAGCTCCTCTGTGTAGTTTGAATTTTTCTCACATTAATCACAAAACCTGGATTTTCCCCAATATATGTGCAGCATACTCTGCATGTGTGGCACTCCTTTCACTTGGACTGCTTCATGTTCCAGAGGTCTGACTGGTTACTCAGTGCACAGATTTGGCTTACGCTCTTGTTTTCTGAAATTCTTCCCAAGACTTCCTTTTCCTCTCCTGTAATATGTCAGAGGTTGTTCATTTAACAAAATGTTTTGCAAAGCAGAAGTGTAGTTCATTTGAGTTCCTATCATGTTTCTGAAGAGCAACTGTCACTAGCTCAACACCATCACAGATCTCGAATGAATATGATGGAAGTTGGAGGCAGACGGAATGTCTCCTTCTCTGGAGACATTCAAAACCCGCCTGGACGCCTTCCTGTGTAACCTCATCTGGGTGTTCCTGCTCCGGCAGGGGGGTTGGACTGGATGAGCTTTTGAGGTCCCTTCCAATCCCTAATGTTCTGTGATTCTGTGATTCTGTGATTCTGTGATGGAAGTTGGAGGCAGATGGTTTAGTGGGTGTGGAGTAAAAACAGGAAAAGTACAGAGATGGATTGTTCTGGCCTACACTATTTTTGTGATAAAACCTCTCAGTTCAGCAATACAGTATCCACTTTCACCCGCTTTTTCAAGGAAGATGCTGCTCAGATTGAGCTCTCTCTAATACATCTTTCTTACCTGAGAGAGTGGAGATTTTGTTTCTTTTTTGTTGTTGTCGCTCCTTTGTTTTTTGTCACCAGGACATACACGTCTCAGGGTTCATTCCTGACTTCTGGTTTTTTTCTGTAACTGTACCTATGGAAATACGTCCTTTTTAGTTCTCGGTTTAATGCTTTTGAGGTCTGTGACCAATAGCTGAATCTAGGACTACATTTATACAGGAAAAGTTCATTTTTCATGGGCAACCATGGCCGATAAATTAATTTGAGTAAAATCATAAAATAATTGCAAGTAGAAGAGTTTGACTTTATTAAGTAAATGATTTACTTACATGTTCAGAGTTTTTTTGGACACTTTAATACCAAAATTCTGTGATTCTGTGGGAAAAAAAAAACAACCAAAACCCCAAAAAACCCCAAACAAAACAACAAATGAACAAACCAAAACCAACTACCCTCCCCTTCATCTCACACATTGGGCTCATGAAATGATGAAACAAGTGGCAATATTTGGTTTCATGCTGTACCAGAGTCACTTCACTTTATTTTCTTGAATGTGTAGGTCTTACTCGATCGTCCTACTGAGTACATGTTGGCCATTAAGCAAGGTTAAAACACATGCTAAATGTTAAATGGAAAATGCTTTTTTCTCTTCTAGGCCAAAGTCAGATTATCTGGAAACATACACAGACATTATGCTCCTAGCTTAACAGTGTCAACACCTGCAATTTAAGTTTATGACCTCAACAGTGAGTTTCACTTGAAACTGAGGAAATGACTGCTAACAGATGCACAGGGCCTAGCAATTTAAAACATGGAGTAATATTTCCCATAATACTGTCCTGGCCTCCTGAAGCTTTTGGTGTGAGCTTTGAGTCAGAATTGTCATATTTATGCTGCCAATAACTTGTATTCTGCTAATTGTGTGGACAAGTTTTAAATTAATGGGGAGTTGTCACAGTAACTTGAGATAAGGGACTTCAGATCTTAACAATGTGTAATGTGAAGGAATAGCCCCTTTTGCTTGGTTAGAGTCTACCACATGGCTCCAACAGCTGAAGTTCTCTACTGGTACATTAGAAGAAAGAGTGAACAAAATAAATTCCATTTCCTCCCATTAAACTCACGATTTTGTAAATCCCTATCACATATTGCCTCTTCTAGGCTTAAGACTGCCAGCCTGTATCTTTTGACCCCAGATTTCATGGGTGTCTCTCCTGGGAGTGAGAAATGCACTAATTCTGCACCTATGTTGTCTAGGGTTTGTTTCAACACTGTCTTTTCCTTGTAGTACAGCTTTTGGGAGCGCTCATGATTGAAATGGAATGGGTTTGCCTAAAGACTGACTTCCTGATGCCTTCTTTTTCTGGTTCTGTTTACATAGGATGGAGACTTGAAATTCTCCCTTGAGTCCGTGAAGAAGCTAAAGGAGCTTATGGATGAGAACAGACAAAGTAACCCTCGCATGGTGGTTTCAATGGCTAACTATTCTCCATGTGATGAAAAAGATCTCCCCGAGGAGTTACAATCCGTGTGCGAAAAAGAAGATGCATCCGTGATTTTTGAAAGGCTGAGTATGTAGCTCATGTTGCATAGTTGGCATTTTTGTCACACTTTTAAACCTTAAACATTCACATAGCAGCAGCAAAGACATGTAATTGCTGTTCTGTGGCTTCTAAAGCAGCTCAGAGAGTCCATGCTGCCTTTCTACAACCCCTCCTACAATGGTTGGACTACACCAGCTGTGAGTCCCCTACAAGAAAATTCCTGCTGCGCTGAGCTCAGCTGTAGCCTGTACAGATCAGGCAACTGTAACCATGAAACAGCTTCCTCCAAGTAGTGGCACACTAACTTACATGCTTTAAAGTGAGAGAGCCCACAATCTCCTCTGGCTCACAGGAAAAGCAGGGTTGTATCAGTCAGTAAGACTGCTTGCTTGCTAACTACAAGTTGTAAGCAGGTGTAGTCGCTTTCTCTAATCATTGTAGAAGAAGGTGTTTTTCCAGGTAGCCTAAAAGGGGTGTGAGATGTAAATGATGAGAATCACTCTTTGCATGATGTGTCACCAAGACACAGATAGCAATTCTTGAACTGGCTGCTGCAGTGTCTGCTTTTTTATTTTATTATGAGACATATGTCAAATACAATAGACACTTTGGGAAGAAATGCTAGCATTGTAACGAAAGCTGTGATTCTACAAGCCACATCCCCACCATCTTCCCACAAGATGTCCTGTTGTTCTCTTGCCTCCACATGTTCCCATTGTTTCCCCAATGAATTCAGGTTTGATTTCATTCTTTAAGCCAGATTTTTGCAAGAACTAATTTTAATTATGCCGTTAATAACTTCAAGGAACATTAAAACTCATAAAACAGTAATGGAGTCTCCAAATCACTTGATATGTGGCTCTGATCTCCAAGAAATATCTTGCCGTCTCATTGAAACCCTCTCTTTTCTCTCGAACAGACTTGGCTGTCCAAGACGCTGATTTGTGCGAAATCTGTGCCAATGCTGCCTGCGCTGGTTGCTTTTGAATAAGGACGAAAGAATCTGAAGAAGATACGTCAAGCTAGGAAGTTAATGCATTCATATTGCGAGATCACATACTGTCACAAATCAATGTTTGGGCTCCATCTCCGCTACAGACGGGAGCTGCTTGCTCATGTAGACATCCCAGGGGCAGTCCTGAAGTAGTTGGATCAGGTGCCACCAGCCGTGCAGTTCTGGCGCAACGTGACTGCAAACCTCGTCTGAGAGGTTTCAGTTCTGCACGAGTTGTGTCACACTGGGACAAAAATGTCTTGGGCACAGTTTCATCTTTCAGTTGCTGTTTTGTCTGGATTGGAACACGATGGGTGAAACTGAGCAGTCTCCTGCAGCCTTTTTAATATTGCAATCTGCCTGTGATTTGGCCTCCCCTACACATCACAACAGTAGCATTAGGTTAGCATCTTTTCCAGCCCATACTTTCCAGGGTGTTGGATAACTAAATCTCTACCTGTAGGTCTGCATCTCATGTAACAGAACAGTTAGCAAGTAACCTGGGGACAATTTACTGGTGTTTAGCAACACTTTCATAGCCAGAAAATTCTCAAGTCTGTTACTTCTACAAAGTTTTGTCAGTTTAGGGAACGAATGTAGAGGAGCACAGGAATGGTTTCTACATAGTTGTGTGGAAGCTTCCTTCTTTTGACAGATGCTCATGTTCATTAAGCTCTATTTAGGAGAAAGGAAGTCCAAACTGCAATGCTGGAATCACTTTAAAACTAAAACATGGCCTTGTCTTTTTATTTATTGGCCGCAAGATTGTGAAGAAAGGATCTGCCCATGTTTATATGCTGTATAGGAAGTAAAAGCTTTTTTAAGTTTGTGTTTTTATTGGGTTTTTGGGTAGAGAGGGGTTTTTTGTTATAGTCTGTTTGCCTAATTTTGTTTCTCCTATATAAGGTCTTTCACGTCTGGATCGTCACTGGAATAAAAGCTATCTTGCTAATATTGTCCTGAACTTAAAACAGTTTGTGTTCCTTATATGAATCATAGTAATATCAGACTACATCATAGCTTTAGATTATTCCCTTTTACTTTTAACTGTTGAATTATTATCTCCATTTCATATATATGGGCCCTCAACTCTCAAACAGGTTCTCAAAACACTGTCAGTGCTAAACATATGAGCACTTATCCCAGGGACTAGGTGCTGGCATCGGATGGGATTCCTCTTTCTCAAAGAGGGAAGAAGGTCTTCACTCACAAGCTTGCTGGGCTTATTGACAGAGATTCAAACTGGCTTTGAAGGGAGAGGGTGATAACATCTGGCTTGCCCATGACAATCAGAAAATGCTTTTGCACTGTGCCAGTGACTGACCGGCGAGATGGCCTCCAGAGATTTCTTCCCACGCTCAACCATTCTGTTTTCCACGATTCTGTGATGTATATGATGATACATAGCTTAGTGTACATGGTATCTAAGATATATAATCATAAACCACCTAGTCAGTGCATGATTTGCAGATATCATCCAATTATAAATGTCCTTTCAAATGAATAATTTTCAAATGTGGGTCCTTACACCAGTTTGAGGCACTTAGCCCTCAAATGCCTCTCTCTACCTGGGGAACAGAAACTCCCTTTACTGTGTAAAACATCTTGAGAACCTCTTATCTCTGATGTGCACACAAGTTCCAAATGGAAGTAATTCAGAAGCATCAAAAAATAACACAGCCGATCAACACCATATTCCTAAACGTCAACATTTTCAACAAGAAAATCACAGAATCACAGAATCGCTCGG